AGTACTTCTCTGACTGTTTCCATCGGAGCTGTATTGTGCAGTGCTGATGTGTGATAGACAGATAACTGATTCCTGTGGGCACTTTCATGATAATCCCTAACTGTGGAATTCTATCAATAAAGGAAATGGTGTCTACTGTTAATCTTTGCCATTCTGTCCCTGCCTTTTGGTTTGTGACTTGAATGGAGCTTGATGCACTCTGGAAGAAGTTTATGACCCCTCTCAGAGGGGCATGTGCATCATGACCAATTGCATTAATTTTAAAAAGTGGGTTTTTTCACCAGGAGGTTATACCAATACCACACTTTCGCACAACACCCACAAGCAAGCCTTGGAAGGGCCTTCAATCATAATCACTCTGCTCATGCCAGAAAGGGATAATCCCCCAAATATATTGGTTCTCAAGGAAATCGAAGGAAGTAGATGGGGTGGGGAGGAAAGGCAAGATAACAATATGGTACCAAGGAATTGGTGCTGCTGTTACAGAAATCCTGATGGATCTCAAGAAATACGGCCTGTGATCTTATCTTGTAATGAACCAGAGGATTATATTGTGCATTCTTGGCAGCAAGGGCGTTTAATAAGATATAGCATTGTGATTCCTGCTTGGCCCCAATGAAAACAGGAATAGGGAGCTGGTAGCCGAGTGTCAACACTGTATGAAATTCCACAAGTAAAATATAGCCATTACTCAGTGAGAGGTGGTGAAGAATCTAAATTACGTCCATATTAGCTTCCTTGGGAGTTTTGTAATAGCAACAATGAAATGAGAGCTCTTTTGTCAAGGCTTTTATTGGGCCTGAATGCTAGAAAGAGACAAATATCAGCACTGCTGACGAGAGTGATGTATTTCCTCAGAATGAGTCTGTGAGAATCTATATAGGCAGAGTAAGGATGAGCGAATGTTCCTCATATTAGTTTCCTTTCACGCTTTTATGTTTTTGTTAGTGGCATTGGTTCTGTGGTTTTTGCTATTGGTTTTGTCGATTTGTTTGTATTGTGTTCAAAAGTTGTACAGTTTTGTGTGCCTTTGGCATTGTATTTATGCATACAAAGAACACCATTAATACCTGAAATGTATAATGATGATTTATTAATGTTTCAGTTGTGTTGGGATACATGTATATTTTAATGGGGAAAGGTTCAGCACAAGGAAATGGGGCATAATCTGAAAATGAAAATTCCCCGGTTTAATTCACACAATGGAGAAGCAGGGATGAGACATTTTGAATTCTTCAATTCAGAGAATATTTATCGTGCAGGCTTCCTCCCTTTCACCTGCTGCTTTCCATCTGACTGAACCTATTATGTTAGAAGGATCAGTTATTACTCAACAGCTATGGTAGAATGTTTAGTGGTCTGCCACTGTACCAAATACAACACAGAATTGATTCAGTCCATGCATTTAAAGCTTCAGACGTAGGGCCAAAGTTGATCTTCAAGTCTGCCCCAGAGACATGCAAGCTTTTTGTAGGATATGGCACATCCCCACTGGGGGGCTCCTTTCAACAGTGCTGTGAGGGACCCAGTTCTGGTTGAGAACTGGTTGAGACCAACATCATGTTGGGGTCCTGCCTTGTCCCTGCACTATTTTTCAGACCCAAAACATTTCTTGGAGGCACAGGGTGAATAATACCCCCTGGCATCATTTCAAGTCATAAAAATTGAGTGGGGGCAAGTCACAGCCTGTCCTCCCACCATGCTGCAGAATTGGGCCACTGTGGTGCTGTTAAAAGGAGCTCCCCGGTGGAGATTCCCTCCTACAAAATGGTGGTGCATCCCCAGGGCAGGCTCAGGGATTGCCTAGTTCAGCCCTTAATCTGTAGCTTCAGAAGAGTGTATGATAAATTATCTGAACTCTGTTACTTCAGAATGTGGGTGGAGGAATCAGCTGAATAGGTCTTTCCTAGGAGGGGCTGTTGCTTGGTGACAGAGTATCTGCTTTGTTTGCACAAGATTGCAAGTTCAACCCCAGGTGTCTCCAGTTCAGACAATCGGGTAGGTGTGAAAGGTTGCTACCTGAGGTCTTGGAGACCTGCTACCAGACACTACCAACCCTGATACACCAATGGCTTGATTCAGGATAAGGCAGTTTCATGTGTTCAGGTGAGCTAGCTAAACTAAAGATTGTCCTATAAATGAAGTGGAAGCTTGGGCAAAAACCAACTGAGACCAATAAGTACTAATCCACTTACAATGACCAGAAGAGATGGGCTTAAATAAAATTCCAGGGCCGGGAATCTCTGTTTTCTTCTGATGGCTCAGCCCCAAAGAAGGTTGGGGAACTGTGTTTCAATGAATTACCGGAAATACTGAAAGACACACTTGCAGGATTACAGTTCGAACTTGGGAAAGGGTAATGACTGTTAAGCTGACCTCTGGTATGGATTTATTTATTTTTATTTTTTGGATTTATATCTCGCCCTCCCTGAAGGCTCAGGGTGGCTAACAAAGAGGCACAAGTGCCAAAGTTAAAACAGATAAAAACAGAATAAAACAATGCAGTATATGACCTCAAAGCTAAATGCAGTGGTTGCCATTTAGAACTCCAAAAGCCAGGAGTAAAGCAAGGATTGGCTTTTAGGCCTGCATGAAACTTGTGAAAGAAATCTGCAGCCATGGTTGTTACAGGAGCACATTCCATCATGGTCCCTGTCTGCATTCACCAGATATTTCTAAAACCTTGTGTCACAGCTGCTTGCATTATTTAGATCTTTAGTAAAACATAGAAGCATTTCCTGAAGTATCTTCATACTAGTCATATTTGCCGAAATAGGACCTGAAAACAGGAGCTTGAAGCATTTAATTTGAAGGTCTGGAATGCTTTTCTGCACATCCTTTATCTTCTCAATTAAATTTCATATCACCAGCATTCCAGAAACACTCATCTGGTAACTGATTTGGCATCTTAAGAGCTTCTTCCATTTATAAACGAACCTTGAGTTTAAAAGGGCTACAGGCTTGTGGCGTTTCTGGGTATTTACCACACAATCTCCCTTCTCAGATTTGCTTTCTTGTCCATGGGTGGGTCAGTGTCTCTTCCAGATGAGTCATTCTCTGCCTCAGGAAACTCAAACATTAGTCTGTATATAAATTGTGATTCTTAATATAAACATGACATCAGATTTGATCTCATCTGCCACATCCCCAGACTTACAAAGAGCAGAAATGGCTCCCAACTGCAAGCCCTTGAACCACTAGTTTTGTCAAAGTTCTAGAGGGCACAGTGTTATGAAGAGTAAGGGGCTAGAAAGAAGATCTTCAGTGCAGATTTATAAATGATCAGGACAGGTCTATTGCATAAGAGAGACTAGCATTCTTCTTCATCCCCTTGTTCTTAGATCAAAGTCTTGAACAATAAAACTTTTTAAAAACTTAAATAAAACCCATGTCTAAAAACACCTCCTTTCGACACTCCATAAGGGAGACTAATGGTTATGGATTCTGGTATGGTGGAAAGGACTAAAGGTTTCAGTCTGTGTAGTGTATTCAGATGCTGCCCTGAATATGCTAGGATGAATGTGAATCATCCCCATAGAGAAGCTATGTTAAGCTTCAGGCTTCGGCAGGGATTCGCGCCGAAGACTTTGCGGCCAATCACATTTGAACTGTATGTAAGCGGGAAAGCTTATGATTGGTTTGTTATGCGATCAACCTGATAGGTTGAAATATGTATAGTAGGTGTGACTACATTAGCCCGGAATGTTTAAATACCGAGCAGATGAAATGGACAAGCTGTTCGGGCTATGAGGAGTTGTACCGTGTTGGAGAAGTCGATTATCGAGCTGAATAAACCTGAGTTTTGCTGAAATCACTCTCTGACTTATTGTTAAGCGCCGGACTTAACAATTGGCGACGAAGGTGGGATCAAGGAGCGGGTAGGCAGCACCGCTGGTCCCAATCCCACGACGGACAACAGCGAGCCGCAACTCGCAGTGGCAGAGCAGCAACAGGCACCATCAGAGCCGGTGGCAGCGATTGCAGCTATGGCCAATAGCCCGAAGTTCGAGGCATTCGAACCAACGACCGAGGACTGGGACGCCTACCTGCTGAGGTTCGGGTTCCACCTCGAGGCGAACGATATCACCACAGACGAGAAGAAGCGGGCCACACTCCTGAGTTCGT